ATATATATATATATATATATATATACATATTTAAATTTAATGCATCAAATAATTAATTATAACAGTTACAGTTTAGAGATGAATAATGTTATTGCTAGTACCAGTCCTGAATTTGCAGTATTTTCAAAAGTTAATTTAGGCCATGGCCAGCTTGTTACACAGAAAGTAACACATTACTATTAACAGTTTCTATTCCTAATTTTTAAAACAGCTCAGGCCATATTAAAAATTATATAACATTATTAGGTCAATTTATGTGTTTTTAAGCATAATAAATAATACATCATAAATTTCATGGAAGACCTAGAGCAAATGTCACAATTCTTATACTAGGAGAGATTGAGGATTTTTTATTGTATTTCCTTATAAAATTAAGAATTAAAACCTATATAATATTAAAATTTGATTTATTAACTATGTTTTGATGTTAAAATTTTCCTAGAATGAAAATATATTTCCAACAGATACCTCTATTCACATATTAGCTTTTCTTGTTTAGTGCTGCCATCTATATGCACAAATTTGTTGCTCACCACTAGCCTTCATACTCCCACTTAACCTATCTCCATGTGTTTAATGTGGTACAGCAGCAATGTATCATGCAAATAATCATGCAACAACCCTTCACCAATAGGAGCATGACACACTCTCCTGTCACAGCTGGCTCCCTCTATACTGTACAACCCAATCTTCACTTTGAGATTAGGCAAAAAAGAAACCAGAACTGGGGAGGTAGGGTGGAAAGCATAAGAAGAGGTATTTATTAGAAATATATTTTGAGTGTAGGAAAATTTAAATTTCCAATATGATAACCTTACCTCTCCTCACATAATAGCTAGAAACCCACAATGAAATGGTGGAAGGACTAGTGCAAAATTTATCTAGGTAAGCACCCTTCAGAAAGTGTCCAAAGAATGCCCATTGAGTGTGACATCTCTTGGTAAAGGAACACATCAATGGGAAACTGCACCACATCTGAACTAGGTATACTCTTTGCTCATTTTGAAGATACGTTACCAATTCCAGCAGAATAGTAGTACATCAAATACACAACTGGATATGCCAAATGATATAGAGTGACTAGGGTGCATAAGACCATTATTGGTGGGTCAACTTCAGTCCAAAACCAGACAGCATAGGGTACTTAACATCTCGTCCACAGTAGGAGGTGGGTCCCTACCATTTTTAACTACAAGACAAGGAAGTACAGGGAAAAAGGAATGCAGAAAAAATGCTAATTATTCAAGTAGGAATATACAGGAATGTATTCATGAATACTTTGTCAGGTAATGCGTAATAGTGATAAAACAGTAGACGGTAAGATTTCAATAATTTTATTTTTCAAAATGAAAACACAGTTTAGAACAAAAAATATATATATAATTAAAAAAGACTTATAGATATTACAACTGTCCATTGTTCTTTATGAACATCAGTCTTTCAAATGTCTTGTCAGTAATCAGGTCTGAGGGTTTTGCCTCCAATGTTAAACAAATGTTCAATGGAGGCAGATGATGTTGGGAAACTCAGGTAGCCCTTGGCTAGTAGAGATAAGGTAGGAAAGTTGTTTTTCCTGGACTTTCCAATTATCTAGAGGGTTGCTTTCTTCCAAAATGCAAGGACAATCAAGATTGATGTTGTTCTTTGTATCCTCTGAAGATGAGGTGGCTGGTTTCTTGGAGGCAACAAAGAAACTAAAGAGCTTAGTTGTTTTGCAATGGGGAGATTTAAAGTCCTTTGGTTCTATGGTTATAGAACTATTTGTCGAAGAAACTTTCTTGACTTCTTGCTGCAGGAGCATTTGGCTGGATTCATAAACCACAAGTCTAGTGAAACACTAGTCATGTTTAAATCTGATATCAAAGACACTTCATTGCTCATATGAGTCAGCCAAGCATGAACAGATTTCTTCATTGCAAAGACAAGATTGAAATAATATATGGAATGCATGCTGTCAATCTCAGTCATCAGCCCATAAACACATGGCACTACATAACTTGAGGTAACAATGCTCTCACTTTTCAAAAGGTGCCAGTATTGTCACCAAATCTGCAAGCACAGTTTGATTAGGAAAAGTTTCGATGTACCAGTATCTAGATTATCAAACTTTTCCTAGGTAATGTAAAATAAAGACTTAAGCATCTTAATTTACGAGTTCCATCATGTTGGTGTTACCGACTGAACTCTGGCCTCTCCCTCAAGTAGATCAGTTGCTTGCATTGATTTTTGAATGTAAGACATGATGGCTGATGCTTTGGAAATTACTTTCATCAGTGGTCCAGCTTTTTTCATGCCATCCCTGAACACAAGCCGTAGTGTATGGGAAAAGCAGGAAGAAATTAGGATAAATTGTCTGTTTATTTAGATTCATCCAAAAGTTCATCTTCTGAGTCACTATCTGTAGATGAGTTATCACCATCTCTCACACTAGGTAGTGTTTGCAGTTCAAATCCTGGCAAGCAGAAAGCCTTGATCATGTTGGATGCATTACCAGATGTCACATAGGACACCTTGTTGTTGATGTTAAAGAGATTTATAATTTCATTACATTGAGCTGCAATGTTATCAGATGTGTGATGCCCCTTGAAATGCCAGCATGACTGTTTGCATTTTCCAGCCAAGTATAAAATGACCACTGACTCCAAGAAAACTGTGCATTTGTCTGCTACTCCAGATATCCACAATGACATTGATGTTGAGCACAAATTGCAGTATTGTGGACAGATGCTTGTGACTGTAACCAATATACCAAGAATCCATGGCTGCCATTATATCTTGAAAATCATCTGACTCCACCACTGTACCAGCAATAAAATTGATGAGTTTGTTAGTGATGTGTAGACATATATTTAGTTGATTCTGTGCTGTATGCTGCTATTGTGGGCTGCTGCACTTGGGCAGAAGTACCAGAGCCAGATGCAGACTTATGTAGATCTGCCACATGATTACATTAGAAATACAAAAGCATATCTCAGTTATACAATATATAGTTTATAATAAAAATAATAAAAAATATATGTATCAATAAATAAAAATGATGAATATAGTTCAAAACATGAGAAATTTAGTTTAACTATAGAATATAATTTATAATAATAAAATTATATCATAATAAATAAATATCTCAGATATATAATAGAATATATAGGCTAGTGGCGAGCAAACACCTTGTGCATAGAGGTCAGCACTAAATGAGAACTATTAAATGAGAGAGGTAAGGATCATATCAGAAACCAAATTTATTTGTATATAACGATAATAAAGTAGTTTAATTAAATTTTGAATGTAACTACCTAAGAATTTGTGATAGGCACACTGACCTGCAGACAGGAAGAGAGTTAATGGCACTCACCACCTGTTCTTGGACTAGTCTTATCTGACCAGTTAGTAGGATTTGAACATCACTTTTATAGTATAGATATAGCCTAAAAGTGCAAAGTACAATTTTGTGCCAATGAACCACAAACCATGAACCTGTGGATTCACATTGAAAATAAGTTAACCACTATACAACACCTTCACTGGAAAGTTAACATAAAAAGCTTTGTCAAAGTACGGTAAGAGTAAAATTCACTTCCAACGTACGTTATTAATTACTACATTCAAGTAAGCTGTACATTGTCCATTTTCGTGGTGATAAGTATATTGAAAAGAAAGTTCAGTCATGAAATTTTTGTTAACATCTAATTTTGACACTAATGTGTTTGAATTACAGCTTTAAAAGGTTTTATATTAATTAATACTCAGTGTGGTAACCTGGTAGCTACTCTAGTCAGATGTAATATCTAAGTTTTGGAAGTTTGTTTAAGCAATCATACCTTTATAAGCAATTCAATATATTTGTATTATAAATAACCATTACCAGAGTTACATTGAAACTACTAAGTGATATATATTTAGTCTAGTAGTAATTCCAAGCAGTTACTTTATCTTTTTTGTGCGTGTTAAAACAAAAATTTGTTTGGAGAAGACAATACTTTTATTTGCAAATTTCATATAAATTCTTCAATTTATGGTGAGTCTAGGAAAACATTATGATTAGTGTTTTATCTGGAATAAGTAATATTTTTGTTTGAAGCATAGTTCCATGGGAGGCCTAGTATTTTTCCTATATATTTCTTTCCAAACTGTATCATGTCTTTTGAAATATATGTAAAATATTATGCCTACCTATATACAAGCAAAAACAACACCAAGTAAACAGTTTTTGTGTTACCTCAATAAGAAGATATTCTGTTACTCAGTGCAACAAAGGCATACCTTGACAAGCTTACCGTCTTAAAAATTCATAATAGCTGTCCCTCCTCATCAAATATTTAGTCACCACTCTGTAGTTTTTCAGAATGTTTCTAATTTCTGTATTCAAAGCTCCATACAAACATCTTTCTCCATCAAATGTGTTAGTTTCACATCGTGCACCATTTTCTAGAAGGTATTTGACAACCTCCAGATGTCCACACAAACATGCATAATATCTACATAAAGAAACATGAAAGTTACTAATTGTACATTTAACAATCAAACAAATATTTTGTAAGATAAATATTTATAATTTTTTGTGTGTATGCAAATATCATTAACTCCAATATTACGAAACCTGTAAGTTTGTAAATTTTATGAAATGTACTCAGAGAAGTAACTGTAAAAGTATACATATAGGCAAAAACAATTACATATTCTAACAAAAATTGGATGTGAGTTTAGTGCAATTTATGTTCATATAGAAGTTAACAAAAGTTATTTTATGAAATTTGAGCATTAAATCAATAAATTTATCAAAATATATTTTTTTAACTTACAAAGGCGTGCTGTCCCACTTATCTCTGGTATTCAGTTCAACATCTTTTTGTTCTACCAGGTATCTAAAAATTACAAGACCATAAGTTAAGACATACTTAATTCTAATAGGAATTATTGCAATTTTTCTGGTTAACTGCCCAGACATAATGCTTCCAATTATTTACATCAATCTCTCTACTCTCTTCTTGTATTTAATGTTTAAAATTGCATGATCTACAAAATCTTTTTCACAATGATTCAATCATTCATTTTCATTCATTCTAGGCTGTGTCCACCCACTCCAAAGCATAGCCTTCCACCAAGATGTCAAAGTCTGTCTATCTGCTGCTTTCCTTGGCCATGTGACGCCCTCTTTCTCTATGATGCCCTCTTCTATGTGGTCTACCTCTTGATCTCTTCCCTCTGCAAGGCTGTAATTCTGTGATTCTTTTTGTCCATCTTTTGTCTTTTAATTGAGTGATGTGTCTGGCCTATTTCCATTTTGATTCTGCATTGTACTTGGAGATGTCTCTTACCATGTTTCTTTCCATTGCTCCTTGTGTTGTCTGCAATCTTGAGTTAAGTTGTTTAGTGAGTGTCCAAGTTTGACATCCATATGCCAAGGTTGGTAAAACACATTGGTCAAATACTCTTCTTTTAACCCTTTCCAGACAGGTCATGGGTGAAAGGCCATGTCATCTTGTTTGTTGTTTTGCATTCAAAATTTTATAGAACTACTATTTCATGAATTTATGTTAATAAGTTTGGTATCAAACTATAAATTATAATTCATATTTTAGTACTATATATTACTCAATTTATTACTTTAAAAGCAAATATTAAAAAGAAACAAACATTGATGTTTTGTGTGTCACATGGTATAACAAATGCACAACTGGTTCAAATTAGATGTAATATTTTTTTAGTGGAATTATATGGTATTGATACAGTAATTTATGATTTCTGGTTATTCAACTATATATATAAACTGATGATATATCAGCTTTTACTTAACTACTAAACCCAAAGTACAACTTAACTACTAAATTTAAATTGTCAGTTAACGCTATTTTAGGCTATTTGAAATTCTAATACGTAACATAATAAATTGGGGCTCGTGTCTGAGATCTGAATCAGAGACAATACTTGATCTAAATTAAAATTTAAATCACAATTGAATTTATATTTATCAGTGCCAACAAGATTTGATCATGTCTGATTATCAAGATTTTCTTGTATCACCCTCCCTAGAACAACTAGAAAAATATAACAAAAATGAATCGCTCAAAAATTGCCAATGTTTTAGAACTAGAAGTTAAAAGGTCAATGAGAAAAAATGAACTGAAAAAGTGTATTATCGAAATACTAGTCGATGATGATTTGTTGCCTGAAGAAGCATTAGAGGAATACTCTAGTGTCCATACTAGCCAATCAGGGTTGAGTGATAAAGAAAAATTAGAGATCCAGCTAAAATTGAAACAACTTGAGCTTGAACAGGCTCAAATCATAGCCAAGAAAGAGAAAGAACAAGCTCTTATTGAAGCTGAAAAATGAAATTGGGTTGAAAGAAATGGAAATTAGATTCTTTGATCTTAATCAATATGTTAATGTACCACCGTTCAATGAAAATGAAGTTGATAAAAATTTCAACATTTTGAGAAGGTTGCCCAAACCATGGAATGGCCCACCGAAAAATGGTCATTATTATTACAAAGTGTTTTAACTGGTTAAGCACAAGAAGCTTATGCCACTCTTTCTTTAGAAGACTGTACGAATTACAATAAGGTTAAAGCAGCTATTCTCAAAGCATACCAGTTAGTACCGGAGGCTTATCGCCAAAAAGATAATCAAACTTGTATACAATTTGCTCATGAAAAGGAGTTTATTTTTATCAATGGTGCAATTCTATGCATATTGGCGATAGTTTCAACAAACTAAGAAAATTACGTCTAATTGAGAAATTTAAATGTTGTGCACGTGACAACATCAAAATTTATTTAGATGAATAGAAAGTTGAAACACTACAGGAAGCAGCTGCCCTTTCTGATGACTACACTTTAACACACAAAACCACTTTTCATATAAAAAAATTCCTACCAGTTCATCAAAAACCTGTATCTGTTCAGTCCACTGAGGTTGAGGATTCTTCTAAAAAATCCAGCTCCTGTAGTTCAAAATCTTCATAAGTTGGGCTAAAACAATCAAAACCTGTCTGCCATTTTTGTAAAAAACCTGGTCAAGTTATGTCCAATTGTTGGGATTTGAAAAAGAAAAAAGAAGAGGAGGCATCACCCAGTGCATTTGTGTTCACATATTGACGTAGTTTCACCAGATCACCCAATGTTGTTGATATGGCCACTGATATAAAGGCTGATGTAATCAGGGAGACATTTAGACCTTTTGTGTCTGTTGGATCTGTGTCTTTGACAAGTGACACTGGCAATCTCATACCCACACATATTCTATGTGATACTGGGGCGACTCAATCATTGTTGTTAGAAGATATATTG